CGCCTCACCCGCCGCCGCCGCCGCCGCCGCCGCCGCCGCCGCCGCCGCCATCTTGGAGCAATGGCCGCCGGGACGGCCGGGAGGGGGCGGGCGGGGACGGCGACTGGCCGGCGGCGGGGTCCCCGGGGCCTCGGGGCGGGCCGCGGGCCCGGACGGCCGGGAACCGGGAATGGGAGTGACGGGCCCAAGCCGAGGGGCGACTCGGAGCCCTCCGGGACGGAGTGCTGAGAAAGTGGGATGGGGTCTGCGCGAATAAATTCGCCACACCTCGCATTCAGGATCCTAACCAGAGGCTGGCTGTCAGGGTGGGATGGACGAGGTGTCTCGTGGGGTGACACGCTCTTGACACCCACTGGGTGCAAGGAGTGAAGAGAGGAAAGTCTGGGAGCTGGGATGGGGTACCTTGGGGGAGTGTCTTGCCTGGACGAATTGAAAGGTGGTTGTGTGGGGACTTGTGAGTGTCGGAGGAAGGTTTATGTTTATGGGGGATGCCCCAGGGTGAAGTGTGTGGTCTGCTGGGCGAGAAGGACACTTTGGGGATGTATGGCTACCATGTAGGGGAAGGGTCGTTTGGGTGGAATCACGCAGAGGGCAGAGGATCCCCAAAGAGAGCTGGAGAGTGGGGAGCAACAGTTTGAGGGCTCGGAGGGGTTAGAGGGATGGTTTGGTATGAAAGATGTGAGGATGTCAGGTGGAAGCCCTGAACTGTAGGGGCGTTTGTTGGGTAGATCCAGTGTGAAGGCAAGAGCACCTGTGATGTGCACGATAGAGAAGAATGGAGGTGACTTTGGGTCGATGAGTAAGGGGAAGGCAGCGTGAGGAGAAGCTCCATGAGAGAAGTGTGTGTGCGCAAGGTCCGGAAAAGGGACTTGATGGTTTGTGGAGAAGAATATGCCAGGTGATGGGCTAGGCGCTGTGACCTTGAGCAAGGTTCTGCTGTGGATAGTGGCCTTTCCGATCTAGGGACTCAGATGGTTACTTCAAGGCCTTCAGGGATGGGTCACCTGGAGTCAAATGGGATGTTATTAGCAAGAATAGTTAGTACTTGGCTTCTGGCAACCCATCTTTCTGTTTCCAGTGTTTTCTTCTTTTCTGTCTAATTAGAAGAGCCCCAAATAAATGACTTGACTCAAATTTTGTCCGTGGGATGAATGAGGAGAGCATTCTACTTTTGTGTGTGTGTGTGTCTCCCATCCTTAGCGGGTGGTAAGTGAGGCTGGGGTGGGAGAGAAATCCTTATGTAAGTGCTCCTCATGTTGTGCGGAACTCTTAACTAAGGCTCTTTCCCAGCATACATCTCATCAGCTCTTCTCAATACCCCATTATGTAGTCAGGGCCAATGTCATTGCCTCACTCAGCAATAATGACAGCAGCTGCTTTTTATTCAGGGCATAGTATGTGACTGGCACTGTATTAAGTATTATGATACATGCTATCATTTAATTATTGTAGCATTCTAAGGTAAACAGTATCCCTTCCTCTCTTTTTCAATAAGCAGAAGGGAAAGGGTTTTGAGAAGGCAAATATTTCGGATCACAATAGTGAGTGACTGTGTTGGCCCATGCTTTTTCCCTCTCAGATCCTCAGCACAGGTGAGAAAAGTCTTCAGAGAAGCTTAGAGGCCTCACCAGGTCACCCATGCTGTCCTAGCAGAGTGGGGGCTGGATCTTGGCCTCTGGGAACTTGATATGAGTACAGCTGACAGCATCCACTCTAACATCTCCGTCCCTTGCTGTGTAGCTCAGACTCAAACTTACCATTTTCCTGCCTCAGCATTCTAAGTGTTAGAATCACAGGTGTGCTCCCTCCAAATGAGAGATGTGGCTCTGCCCCCTCACTTAGTTACCTTTTCTAGAACTCATGGAGAAGCTGTGTAAGGCTCCAGCAGCATCGCTTACTTTATGCTTTTGTTACATTATAAGTCAAACATGGAGTGCCGGTGTGTGTACATGCCCAAGATGAATGGAAATGTGCTAGAAAATACCACTGTGTGGGTTTTCATAAGGGCATACGTTTTCGTTTCCTTTTCCTGTCAGCACAGAAAGCTCTTATTTTTGATAACTGTATAGCATTCCCTTGGGTATTTATAGCACACCTTATTTATTTTGTCCCTTGTCAGTGGATTTTTCAGGATTATTTCCACCCTTTGCCCTGTCAGAAATGGTTTTGAGGCCTCAAGAGACAGCTCAGTTGGTAAAGTACATGCTGTGCGAGTATGAGGACTTGTGTTTGATTCCCTAGAACCCCCATAAAAAAAGTTAGGCATAGGGGCACACACTTGTAATCCAGTATTGGAGAAGCAGAGTCAGGCAGGTCCCTGGCACTCACTGGCTAATCAGCCTACCCACTGAGAGCTCCAGGCTAGTGAGAGGCCCTGTCTCAGGAATGAAGGTCGAGGGTGCTGAGGAAGAGCGCTTGCGGCCGCATGCATGCATGCATGCACAGGCAGACGTTGCCTTGATGACTTTCTCTTGTGAGAGTGTGTTGTAGAGTGTGCTTATACAGTGATGATCGCTCTGTCTTTTCAATCCTTTTTTTTATTTTATCTTCTTTTTGTTTTTTGTTTTTTGCTTTGTTTCAAGACAGAGTCTCACAGTGTTCTGGATCTTCTGGAACTCACTCTATAGACCAGGCTGGCCTTAAATTCACAGAGAGCCACCTGCCTCTGCCCCTGGGTGCTGACATTGAAGGTGTGCACCATCACACCTGGCTAAATTTTGTTTTTATTTTTAAAGATTAAGTTTGTTTATTGCGGAAGTCAAGATGACAAATTGCAGGAATTGCTTCTCTTCTCCTGCCATGTTGATCCTGAGATGGAAGCTGGCATCTTTATTCACTGAACCATCTCCTTGGCTCAAGCACCTCTTTTCATTTAGTTATTTGCTTGCTTGCATGCTTGCTTGCTTATTTTCAAGGCAGGGTCTTGCTGGGTAACTATGGCTGTATGGAACTCCATGTGTAGATTTGTAGATTAGGCTGACCTTCCACTCAGAGATATACCTCCATCCCTACCCCCACACACCTCTGCCTCCTGAGTGCTAGAATTAAAGGCACTCACAACCACATTTGCCTCATTTTTGTTTTTTTGAATCAGGTTTTACTCTGTAGCCCAGATGTCCTTGACCTACTCATAATTCTTATGCCTCAGCCTCCAGAGTGCTGGAGTTACAGGGCTGCACTGTGACAGGAGTTATCCTGTCCTTTGTAATGGATGTGCACAAGCACATCTGGCAAGCAGCATCCTTTTCACCCACCTTTTTTCCTCATAGCACTCCCACCTTCTGAAAGCCAACTTCCATGAGACCCTTCATGACTGGGCAATGTCGGTACTGAGGAGCTGCTCCTGGCTGTTTATGATATGAACCCACTGTGTAGTCAGTGCCCAGGACACCAGTGGGAAGAGGGCTGGTCAGGAGATTCCAGAGTTCAGAGCAGAGAAGTGGTGGAGATGTACTCTGATAATAAGTGGAAATGTGTTGAGGTGGGTGGCTCCTGCCCCTCAGAAGCTTCTAGACCATTGGAAGAGGCTGTTTTATTCAGGAAACTGTAGAGAACTATCTGTGCTCATGTATAAAGTTGGCTGTGGGGCTTTGCTATGTGCTTCTGAGAAGAAAGCTTTGGGAAGAGATCTGAACCCGTTCTTTCGATGGAGAGAATAGATGAGGCGCCAAGGAGAAAGTATAGTCCCCTCCTCCCCTCAGCCTTCTGGGCACTCAGGGATCCAGTAGATGCTCTCCCTACCAGGAGCTGTGTGAGCTCTAGGCTCCAGGCCACATGCTAAGTAAGAGTTCGCAGACGGTAAGGTCTG